ATATATATATGTATGTATGTATGTATGTATGCCCCCCAATTTTTAATTATTTACATATCTAAAATCATAAATTTATAATTTAATAATAACACCTGAAACATATTAGCAGCACAAACATATCACTAAACTTTATGAATCTAACCGTCCAAGAGATTAGCTCCTCGGCAAACTCATTGACATTCACTAGAGCATGAATAATGTTTTCAAAGTCAAGCTTATGTTGCAGTATTGATCACGAGAAATTAAATTATTCTCATTTTTAAGCGGTCCACCTCTCATTATAGTTTGATCTTCTTGTGTAACGAATCTAGAGAGCAAGCATCAGTTTATCTTCTTCAATTTCAACTTCAAATCTCTCGATGGTACAAGTAATTTTTTTCTCTTACCGTTTTAGTCTTATCTCGTTTTTCAGGGCATGCTTTGATTTGTATTTTCCAACTCAGCTTTTGAACTTGTGTAATTAAGAATGATATTGTTGGCATGATTTTTTTATGTCGCATGTCTGGGATGCCTGTTGTGAGATATACACCAGTTGTTGTGGTATATATATAAATCAAACAGAAGAGCGATCGACGAAGCGAAAAAATTTGAACGAGATAATTCACACCAAAAAATAGTAACACAGCAGAACATAAATTTACGTGGTTCGACAAATTGCCTACGTCCACAGAGTTGCAAAGGATTTTACTACTTGAGGAATTTACACTAGTCGATCGTCTCGACTTACAAGAGTGAATTCTTTCTCTCACTTCATTGCTCTCTCTGTTCTTCTCTCTCTACACCGAGATACACCGAAGAAGAAAATTTTACAAGAGAAATAAACTCAATTTCTCTTCTGCTACAAGCCACTAAGAAGAAGCCAAGGGAGAACAATCTTCTTCTTCTTTTTTCTTCTTTCTTCTTTCTTCTGCTGCAAGGGAACTACTGCTTGCACTTCTCATCCTTTATCACGAGGAAGCCCGAAAAAGAACACCAAAGGATATGTCATAAAACTGATGGAGAGCCGCTGCAATGTCTTTTATCACAAAGAGGAGGGAGAGAAGGGATGCTTCGCTTCACAACAAAGGAAGGCGGGAGCGGTTGGCGCCTACGGTTCGCGACTGAAGAGGCGGGAGGTGAACCAAAGCTTCGATTAGCGAAACATAAACAAGCAGAAGCGGCGTTTCGAGAATTGGAGGTGGGAGCAGGTTGGGTCGCGATGAGAGCGGGAGCGGCAAAAGAGATCGGGCTCCAAATTCCAACAAGTCTCCCACTTGGAGACCGATACACCGGCAACAACATCTCCTTCCTCAAACCGACTTCCTCCACTGGCGGTGTCGCTCTATTCTTTAAACATGAATCCTTCAGCTCTACAACTCAAAACCTTTGTCTTCACTCTAGAAAACCAACTGAAGTTGTGCACAACTTTAATTTCTTAAGAGTAACACTGTCAGTCAACATATCAGCAGGGTCTAAATAGCCTTGCACCTCCAAGCTATTTCCTAGATTATTTAATTATTTACATATCTAAAATCATAAATTTATAATTTAATAATAACACCTGAAACATATTAGCAGCACAAACATATCACTAAACTTTATGAATCTAACCGTCCAAGAGATTAGCTCCTCGGCAAACTCATTGACATTCACTAGAGCATGAATAATGTTTTCAAAGTCAAGCTTATGTTGCAGTATTGATCACGAGAAATTAAATTATTCTCATTTTTAAGCGGTCCACCTCTCATTATAGTTTGATCTTCTTGTGTAACGAATCTAGAGAGCAAGCATCAGTTTATCTTCTTCAATTTCAACTTCAAATCTCTCGATGGTACAAGTAATTTTTTTCTCTTACCGTTTTAGTCTTATCTCGTTTTTCAGGGCATGCTTTGATTTGTATTTTCCAACTCAGCTTTTGAACTTGTGTAATTAAGAATGATATTGTTGGCATGATTTTTTTATGTCGCATGTCTGGGATGTTTGTTGTGAGATATACACCAGTTGTTGTGGTATATATATAAATCAAACAGAAGAGCGATCGACGAAGCGAAAAAATTTGAACGAGATAATTCACACCAAAAAATAGTAACACAGCAGAACATAAATTTACGTGGTTCGACAAATTGCCTACGTCCACAGAGTTGCAAAGGATTTTACTACTTGAGGAATTTACACTAGTCGATCGTCTCGACTTACAAGAGTGAATTCTTTCTCTCACTTCATTGCTCTCTCTGTTCTTCTCTCTCTACACCGAGATACACCGAAGAAGAAAATTTTACAAGAGAAATAAACTCAATTTCTCTTCTGCTACAAGCCACTAAGAAGAAGCCAAGGGAGAACAATCTTCTTCTTCTTTTTTCTTCTTTCTTCTTTCTTCTGCTGCAAGGGAACTACTGCTTGCACTTCTCATCCTTTATCCCGAGGAAGCCCAAAAAAGAACACCAAATGATATGTCGTAAAACTGATGGAGAGCCGCTGCAATGTCTTTTATCACAAAGAGGAGGGAGAGAAGGGATGCTTCGCTTCACAACAAAGGAAGGCGGGAGCGGTTGGCGCCTACGGTTCGCGACTGAAGAGGCGGGAGGTGAACCAAAGCTTCGATTAGCGAAACAAAAACAAGCAGAAGCGGCATTTCGAGAATTGGAGGTGGGAGCAGGTTGGGTAGCGATGAGAGCGGGTGCGGCAAAAGAGATCGGGCTCCAAATTCCAACAAGTCTCCCACTTGGAGACCGATACACCGGCAACAACATCTCCTTCCTCAAACTGACCTCCTCCATTGGCGGTGTCGCCCTATTCTTTAAACATGAATCCTCCAGCTCTACAACTCAAAATCTTTGTCTTCACTCCAGAAAACCAACTAAAGTTGTGCACAACTTTAATTTCTTAAGAGTAACACCCTCAACAACATATCAGCAGGGTATAAATAGCCTTGCACCTCCAAGCTATTTCCTAGACTACTCTTATCTCTACTTACAACTCCCACTGCATGTGCAATATTCTGCCTCTACTGAGAGCCTTTTCCAGCAAGTCTAGCCTTGTACCTATTACTGTCATCATGCTCAGTTTTCATCTGGTACACCCACTTGTTGTGTAATACCTTCTTCCCTGGTGGAAGTTCTGTCAGCTCTCACTTGCTTGAACTTTCATCTTGCAAGATTTCTTCATAACTTTGTGGTTCTCCACCATCTGTTTGTGAAATAATAGGAATGGGTGCCCCGGACCCACTCTGCTCTTCACTTTCATCATCAACATAACTATGAACTACCAGCAATAGTGCATTTTATACTTCTTCAAATACCATATTTGCAATATCATTCTTCATATTCTTGGGATTCCTGCAGTTCCTCTTTATCTGGTCGTGCCACATTTTTTGCAGGTTGTCTGCTGACCGGACTTTGATTTTGATCTCCCTCTATTTTAGTTCTTGTATTGTCATCTCCCTCTGAAATCAACATTCAATGTCGAACTCGTACCTGAAAACTTGCTAGAATCTTTCCTGCGTATCTCCTCAGCCAAAATACTCGCTAGAATCTTTCCTGCGTATCTCCTCAGCCAAAATCAAATCACAAATATCATCACATTTCAGTTTAGATTTACTTACAGAACTGCTAACTGTCATCCTCATGGCTTCCCAACTATTTGGCAATGAGGACAACAATATCAGCGCATGTACTCATCATCAGAATCAATTTCAATAGACGATAATTTTTTGTGATAGTATTGAAATTATTCAGATGTTGAGCAACAAAAACACATTCTGAAAACACATTCTGTTATCTTCAAATTGAATAATTTCTTCATCAAGTACACCTTGTTATTCATTAATAGCTTTTCATACATACCTGAAAAGGCTGTCATGAGATCTGCAGTCGTCCTCTTCTTGACTACGTTGTGTGCAACGGATCTTGATAGGATCAATAGAATAACCCCAAGAACTAGCAGATCCAACAAATTCTATTCAGCCTCATCTATCCTTTTAGGTCTTTTCCCCAATAACAGAAGATGAGTTTCTTCCCAAAGTGGTAGTCCTCTATCTGCATTCTCCAATAACCAAAATTTGTGTCATCAAATTTCTCGATCCCTGAAAACTTTACTTCATCTGCAACCATCATTCTTCCTCAGATCCAAACAAAGCACTCTGATATCAGTTGTTGTGAGATATACATCGGTTGTTGTGGTATATATATAAATCAAACAGAAGAATGATTAACGATGCAAAAAAAATAGAACAAGAAAATTCACACCAGAAAATAGTAACATAGCGGAACACACAGATTTACATGGTTTGACAAATTGCTTACATCCATGGAGTTGCAGAGGATTTTACTACTTCAAAAATTTACCCCAGTTGATCGTCTCGACTTACAAGAGCAA